TTCTGGTTTTTTGGGTTTTTTTTTGGAGGGGGGTTTGTTTTTTTTTACCCTGCTTGCTGAAACTGAGGAGGACCTCATGCACTTGCTCTGAAGGGTCAAGGACTGCAGCCTTCAGTATGGACTAAGGCTCAATGTCAAGCAGACAAAGATTCTCGCCACTGGACCAATTGGCAGCATCAGGATGGATGACGAAGAGATTGAGAGTGTTCACAGCTTCAGTTTGCTCGGCTCCACAATCAACACTCTTGGCACCAGCAGTCAGGAAATCAAAAAGCGTATCGCGATGGGAAAGTCTGCTGTTAGGGACCTCTCAAACGTACTCAGGAGCAACAGTGTCTCTCTGGAGACTAAGGTGCGCCTGATACAGGCCATGGTATTTGCAATCGCTTGTTATGCATCAGAGAGTTGGACAATGACTAGGGAGGACAGAAGGGGAGTGGATGCTTTTGAGCTGTGGTGCTGGAGAAGGGTATTGGACTGCCAGGAAAACAAACAGATTCATCTTGGAGAGGATTAAACCAAGCTACTCCTTGGAGGCAAGGATTCTGGGGCTTCATCTGACATACTTTGGACATGTGGCCAGGAGGGACGGGTCCTTGGAGAGGGACATCATGCTTGGGAGGGTTGAGGGACAACGCAGGAGAGGAAGATCCTCTTTGAGATGGATTGATTCGGTGACTGGGGTAATCGGGATGGGTGTGTCAGAGGCAGTGCGGTTGGCGCAGGATAGAGCAGGGTTTAGGGCTGTTGTGCATAGGGTCGCTATGAGTCGAAAACGACTTGACGGCACATAACAACAACAACAACAACAAGGAAGCAAGATTAGTATAAATAAAACCTAGTTGTCCTAAGTGGAAGCCTGACTCATATCTAATCCTCCAGTGGGTTCCAGGTTTCCAGAGAGGGTGTGTAAATGGTTGACAGGAGACAGCTCATTTCTCTCCCTTGGAGTGCTGGTGGATTTGTACCATTTGCTTTATACAACCAGGGCTCCCTTAGATCAATATTTTTTTACACATAAACCAAAATACGAAACCTAGTGCCAGAATCCATTCTGAATCATGGTGATTCATCCTGGGTCTTCCAAAGCTGTAACTTTTATAGAGGGGAGGCAGCCCATTTTTCTCTCTAGTAGTTAGTAGAGGCAGACTGTCAGCCAGTGGGTTAGCTGCATGTAACGCATTATTCCACTACGGCCCCTTCTTTAGAGTACTGTTGTTGTTGTTATGTGCCATTGAGTTGCTTATGACTCATAGCGATCCTATGTACAACTGCCCTAAACTCTGCTCTGTCCTGTGCCAATCACACTGTCTCCAACAGACAGATCCCGATTACCCCAGTCACTGAATCAATCCACCTCATAGAGGGCCTTCCCCTCCTGCACTGTCCCTCCACCCTACCAAGCATGATGTCTCCCTCCAAGGATAGACGAAGCCTCAGAATCCTTGCCTCCAAGGAACAGCCTGGTTTTACCCTCTCCAGGATCAATCTGTTTTCCTAGCAGTCCATGGTACCCTCAATATTGTTCTCCAGCACCAAAGCTCAAAGGCATCAATTCTCCTTCTATCCTCCTTAGTCATTGGCCACCGGAGCTCCCTTCTTTAGAGTATAAAAGAGATTAAACAAGTGAAAGAAGCAGAAATAAGGGAAAGAGAGTTGTCAGGCCCCATTAAGGTCACTCAGGGGCAGAACTTCACAGACATAAGCCCTTCTAACCAGAACTGACAGAAGAAGTAAGCCTTCCCCTAAAGTCAACATCCTAATTACATGCTTCTATTTTCTGAAACGGTTTTTAAAAAGAAATTTTTGCTTGTCAAAGTCATCTTCTTGTGATTCCCTCTTTTATCTTGTTATTGTGATGCATCTTCACGTCAGAAGTGATTATATATAATAAGGGTTTATTAGAGTTGAGAATGTCTAAGTGACAATGTCTTCTGTTCTTACACAACACATAAAGAATGAAACAGAAGCATACACTAAAAGGATTTTTAAAACTTTTATATTTAAATATTTATTAAAAATTAGTCCAAAACTCATTGCTGTCAGTTCAGAACCAATTTACAGCTGATGCCCATTGGATTTCTAAAGATGTGAATGTCAGGGATGGAGATTGTCCGTCTTCTTCCTGAGAAAATGCTGTGGATTTAAACCACCATAAAGACTCAGCCTTTACGTTAGCAGCACACCTCCCTGTGGATGAGGCAATCAGAGCTCAGTTTAAAGGCGTATTATTTTGCTAAAATAATGGAATGGAAAGATACAGCATAAATGAAGTTTTCAAATCAATTATAATATATCTATTTCTTTATAATTTTCTACTTGCAGGTACGTTTTAAAATTATTTTCATATTTCCTTTTTTCCTCTGATTGATATGTTGTTATTATGTGCTATTAAGTCAGAACTAACCCTCCAAAGGGTTTTCAGAATCTGTAAATTACACGGGAGGAGACTGTACATCTTTCTTCAGAGGAACAATTGGTGCATTCAACCACCTGTGTTTGGGTTGGCAGCTCAACTTCCATTGAATCTTTAGTATGGCCTAAAATTAGCACGGAGTCATAGTTATCTCTCTGGGTCTTTTATTATTCATTAATAACTATCTTTTAGGGTTTCTACAACACAAAGAAATTTTACCTTCTCATCCAAGGCCAATGGCAAATCATGGGGATAAAAATGCAAGCAAAAATTCAACAAAGTAACAGGTAGGTAGGACTTCAGAAAATTAGTGTTTTCATTACTCTAAATTATAAGAATATATGTTCTTTAAGATCACAAAGCATACTTCTTTTCAATTCTTACATTGGGATAAATAATCCAAGGTGAGACTTTTTTTAAAAAATTTATCATATTTTGTTACATTAATCTCTTAAGGCTTGATTCAATTTGTGAGATTACTAGTTTTTTATAGTGAAAATTGTGAACACTTAAATATTCAAATTGAAGAATTGATTAATTAAGACTGAGTCAATACATTTCACAGATCTCAAAAATCGTGTTTGTGAAGCATGTGTTAAAATTTTTACATTTAAATATGAAAAAAATAGTGGTATTAAAATGTCTCTACAATGTGATGAAAGATATATCAAAATACCATCACAGAAAACATCCTGGAAAGACAGATATCAAATTTCTGATGGTTGATGTGTGATATAGTAATCAGATATGAAACAAATGTTTCTTTTGAATCTTCAAGGGTTTCCTTTTATCAGTATGTTTACGTAATAAGCTTTATCTAAAACCAAAATAAGTCATTATTTTAGTTTATTTACATGACTCTTAAAGCTCTTTAAAATGTACTAAAAATATGTTGTGGTCCTACTCTACCAGTACTGACTTCTCTAGGAACCAAGCACCACTTATAATACTAGATATTTATGATACAAAGATAAACCATACAGTTACTGAGAAACATGTGCACTAATTGGGGAAAAGTGAATTGTAAGCAAGCAAACAATGATAATAACAAAAGCCATAACCCAATGCAAGCAGAGGTAATTTAGGTATCTACAAAGAAAGGTTAACTGATTTACATAGAAAAGGTTTTGAGAGGGATCCTGGCAAAAGAAATGCTGAAGCAAATGTTGGACAGTTGAGTGCATTACAAGAACTGTTAAGTAGTTCCAGAAAGTTTCACTCGAGTGAATACTATTGTTGTTGTTACATGCCACTGAGTTGGAACTCACTAATAACTGACCCTCCAGCAGGTTTTGAGAGTCAGTAAATTGCATGGGAAGAGACTGCCCAGTTTTCTCCTGCAGAGTATCTGGTGTATTGGAACCACATGCCTTTTGGTTGGTAGTGCAGCTCTTTACCACTAGGCTGCTGGAGCTCTTTACAGTGAGTGATAGATGGAAAATTCTGAGACAAGAGTCATATACAAGAGTCATATCAGAAAGAATATTGTATGCTGTGTGAACGCGGTATTAAACATAAACTACAGGTTTATTGAGAGCTTTAAACATAAACTACTTCTAATTTGTACTCCAGCACTTTGTCAGAGGTAACATGACTGTATTGTAAGGCAATAATAATTAAAAGAAAATATATCAAATTACCAAGTCTTAACTAGGATAGGGACAGTGAAAATGGAAAAGAGACAAAGATATAAAATAGGGAGCACTACTGTAGACAAAATATATGCACTTTACTAGAAATGGTACAATAAAAGGAAAAAGGATGACTCCCAAAGTTACAGACATGAAAGTTGGAATGGGTGATAATGGTGATGTAATTCCCCAGGAATTTAATGTAAAGTAGTCAAGAAAGTGACTCTGGTGGCGTACGAATCTGTGCTGTGAACCTGAAGGCAGAATTTCCCCAGCAGTTTGAATATATCAGAAGCTGTACAGGAGAATAATGGGCACTGTGCTGTGAACCTGAAGGCAGAATTTCCCCAGCAGTTTGAATATATCAGCAGCTCTACAGGAGAATAATGGGCAATAACCTTATGTTGTAATTTACAACCTCTTCTAGAAACCACTAGAGAGTTATCAATAAGTGTTTTGACTTGATGGCAGAGTTTTGTGGTTACTCAAAGAAAAGGATGAATTTGTTATGGTACAGTTTAGGTTTCTGGTGCCTGTGAAATTTCCAACCAGGAATTACTAGAAACCACTGAAAACTGTGAATATGAACTTTAAGAGTCAGATCTGTCTATGAAAGGCATATATATATTTTATACACACACACATGCATGCACACGGGCGCGCACACACATATCATGAAGGGAAAAAATATAACTGAGATCTCAGATACTGAGGTTAAACAATTCTCTTTTCATGTAGTCAAAAAGCCCAATGTTGTGCTAATTTATATTTATTTATATTTATAGTTTGGGTGCAGTGAAATTTCACTCAGAATGACTCTGAGAGAAATAACCAAAGAAAACCAGGAACATGGAGTGAAAGAGAAGCACAATGTGGACTTAATAAATGAGAGAATAAATGCATACAATAAATTATATTCCCATTTGCCTCAACAGGAACATTTCACAGAGGAGATGGAGGTTGGAAACCACACCATCATTACAGAGTTCATTATTTTAGGTTTAACACAAGATCCTATACTTGGTGTCATCTTCTTTGTGATATTTCTAGGAGTCTACTTTGTTACCATAGTAGGTAATATCAGCATCATTATTTTAATAAGAAGCTGCCCCCACCTTCACACCCCCATGTACCTCTTCCTCAGTCATTTAGCTTTTGTGGACATTGGGTACTCCTCATTAGTCACACCTATAATGCTTGTAGAATTCCTTGGACATAAAATAATCCTCTTTGTTGCTGTCTGTGAAGCCCAGTTCTATTCTTTGGTCATGTTTGGGACAACTGAGTGCTTCTTGCTGGCTGCTATGGCCTATGACCGCTATGTGGCCATCTGTTCACCCCTGTTCTACTCTACCCACATGTCCCCCAGAATTTGCATCCTCTTAGTGGCAGCTTCCTACCTGGGTGGGTGTGTAAATGCTTGGACATTTACTAGCTGTTTATTGAGTTTATCCTTCTGCGGATCCAATCAAATAGATCACTTTTTCTGTGATTTCTCCCCTTTGTTGAAACTTGCCTGTTCAGATGTTTCCGTCATTCAAATTATCCCTTCCATCTCTTCTGGCTCCATTATTGTAGTCACTGTGTTTGTCATAGCTCTCTCCTATTTCTACATTCTTATTACCATCCTGAAAATGCGTTCCACTGAAGGGAGACATAAGGCCTTCTCCACTTGCACCTCCCACCTCACTGCAGTTACTCTCTATTATGGGACTATTACATTCATCTATGTGATGCCCAAGTCCAGCTACTCAATTGCCCAGAACAAGGTAGTGTCTGTATTTTACACAGTGGTGATTCCCATGTTGAATCCCCTTATCTACAGTCTGAGGAACAGAGATGTGAAAGAAGCCCTGAAAAAGGCAACTGCCAGAATATGTTCTTAAAATACAATCTTAACATTTCAGGTAAACTATAACATTTTTATTTACTATCTGGGTTACAAATAGAACAATCATAATTTTTTTTAATGTTATGCCTATTTGTCCTCCTTTTGAAATAACTGAAACAATCCCTACTCAAATCCTTCATCACACTACCTTCATTTGCTACATGTGCAGCATTTGAAGACCTGAAAAGTCTTCAAGTCTTTTCTTGTACTAAAGTCTAATGAAGAACTATATACATCTATTCTGACTCTTAAGTTGGCTTAAAGATACACTTAAGATCTGATCTCATTCATAACATGGAAATTGTGTCACACCTTAGAACTATCAAAGATGTGGCTTGTTTAAACTAAAATTATATTTCTTTGTTCTGAGTTTGGGTTTTAAATACCTAACAACCACTTGGCAGACACTGTGAAATCAGCACTAAGATGAAGAATAATTGAGTACTTGTAAATACCAAACACTTATATTTTATTTTGGCAGCATCAGGATGGATAGTGAAGAGATTGAGATTGTTCCCAGCTTTAGTTTGCTTGGCTCCACACTCAACACTTTTAGCACCAGTAGCCAGGAAATTAAAAGACATATTGTGATGGGAAAGTCTGCTGTTAGGGACCTTTCCAAAGCTCTGAAGAGCAATGGTGTCTCTCTGGAGACTAAGGTGCATCTGATACAGGCCATGGTCTTTGCTATCACTTGTTATACATCAGAAAGTTGGACAATGACTAGGGAGGACAGAAGGAGAATTGATGTCTTTGAGCTGTGGTGCTGGAGAAGAGTATTGAGGGTACCATGGACTGCTAGGAAAACAAACAGGTTCATCCTGGAAAGGGTTAAACTGGGCCACTCCCTGGAGGCAAGGATTCTGAGGCTCCATCTAACATACTTTGGACATGTTGTAAGGAGAGACCGGTCCATAGAGAGGGACATAATGCTTGGTAGGATGGAGGGACAGCACAGGAGGGGAAGGCCCTCTATGAGGTGGGTTGATTCAGTGACTGGGGTAATCGGGATGGGTGCATCAGAGACAGTGCGATTGGCACAGGACAGGGGTGAGTTTAGGGCAGTTGTACATAGGGTCACTATGAGTCGCAAGCAACTCGACAACACATAACAATAACAACAACCAGTAATTTGCATTTGCTAAATATTAGGCCCTGTAATAAATGTTACAGTTATCATTAATTTATATATCCCTCATAATAATTCTACATTGTTTTCATTGTTATGTGCCGTCGAGTCAGAACCAACTCACAGCTTACCCTCCAGTGAGTATTTGGAGGCTGTAAACCCAACAGGAGGATACTGGCCATCTTTCTCCTATGGAGCAGCTGGCAAATTTGAGCTATATACCTTTGATTTTGTAGTGCAAGAGAAACATTAAGTATATTGCCCATCTTGAATGATATGAAAATATTATTTGAATATAGAAAGTCTGTTGTCAAAATATTTTCACTTTCACAAACATCTTATGATTCAAGCATTATAAATTTCCCTCAATTTACAGATGAAGAAACTGAGTTACAGAGTGATGCAACAGTGTGCCTAGATAGATGTAGATTCTGTTTCTAGGCTCTAAGCACTTAACCATACACAACAACTACATCACCACATTCAGTCTAATGACTTCAGCACTGTTCCTGATACAGAGGATTTCGTCAGGGAACCCAAGTATAAGAAGGCAATTTTTATCAAGCTTTTGCATAAACTTGCCCTCTAAGATGGTCTAGGCTGTGGAAATACTGAAATAAGGATGATAATGGGAGTTGGGCTGGTTGCCAAGCATATAGTATGTCAGGTCTTGACATCAAGATTACAAGATGTGACTGAAAGATCTACCCATATTTAAGTACATGTTAAGAACAAGTAGTTTAATTGGCGTAAAGCAATTTCCTTTATTGGTAGGAATAATTTTTAGTACTGCAATTCATGTTAGCAAATAGATACAGTTCCATAACTGACCCATAGCTGACCCCCCAGCAGATTTTCAGAGGCAGTTAATCACACAGGAGGAGACTGTCCATCCTTGTCCCACAGAGCAGCTGGTGGTCTCGAAATTGCGTGCTTTCAGTCTTGTAGCCTAGCTTCTTGCCACTAGGCTACCAGAGCTCCCTAACTAATTGTATGACTTAACTTTTCTGAATAGTAGGCATGTTTTCAGGAAGATAGAATCTGTCTCCTTTTTCATTGAAAAATTTATCAAAACAAACAAAATCTACTAGGAAAAATCCAAGGGACAGCATAGCATATAGAGATTCCTTTGGGGAAGTCCATCTTACCTTTCCTGAGTCACCTGCCTCCACAAGTCATTTCCGTACAACTCCAAGGACCTTTTCTCTAAGTGGTAAGAACACGGGAGGATTTACCTCATTCTATTACAGCTTCTCTATTCTTTTACCACACACAAAAATACTCACCCTCATCTTGTGTGCAATTCTCTTACCTAACCAAAGCGAACATTTAAGCGTTCATATTGTTGAGTGTTGAGACTCCAACTACCTTATAAAGTAAATGTTGTCCATTTAGTTTTAACGTTTTCTTTGGAGTTGAGCATTGATAACTGTTTCTCTGAGAGCAGAATATATTTTTTATGGATTTATTAAAAACAATTCAATTTTTTAGTTTTTTCCATAAGGTAGAAAAATCAAAAGAAATAGTCTGATCAATGTTAGCTCTTGACCCCTATGTAGACTGTAGCCTCAGAGATGCATTTCAAAATAGGTACTCTAAGTACCCACAACAAGCTATCCAGGAAGTCCTCAAGGAGGGTGTAAATGGTTTATAGTAACCAAACTAATTTAAAACTTGTATAATGAGAATGTGAAAAGGAAATTAGAAAGAAGGAAGTGGAATATTAAAATGGAAAGAAGTTCAGAACCTCACAACTTTTATATACAATGGAAAGTGATCCATGCATTCAGGGAAAGGCTATCTGAGTAGTCAAAGTCTCTGGCCCATGAGAGACAGAATGCTAAATTGAAGAGGTCAAGAAGGTTCCTAGCTGGCTGGTGGAGAGAATAACGGACAAGTATCAGCTGGAATTTTCTTTATCTGAGTGCTGTTGCCTAAAATTGAGAAGCTATCAAATACTGTAGATAATGTACATCTCACCTCAATTTGGACTTACAGTGAAAGATCTTATGATATAACTTGATAAAAAAATTAGATATCATATACAAAAGTTAAGTAACTAAAACTCTAGCAGAATTCCTTTTTACTTACTATTATTATTTCTTTGTTTCATGTTAAACACTCTATTGGTTTAAAAATATTATGTCTTTTCATCTCACAATAAAGTTGTTTTTAGAAATCTCTATTCCTATTTTGTTGTTATGTACCACTGGGTTAGAACCAACCTATACCTGACCCTCCAGCTGGTTTTCAGAGGCAATAAATGGCATGGGAGGAGACTTCCCATCTTTCTTGCACATAGCAGCTGGTGGATTTGAACTGTGAGCTTCTGGGATAGCAGAGCAACACCTTACCATTAGGCCACTAGAGCTCCCTATTTCGATTTTACAAAGGCAAAAAGTGAGTCAGAGATATTGTTATCCTGTCATGTTAAACATAGTTGGCCTGTGGGAGGCCTGAAATATGTCTTAGTTCACAATCTCTGGAATTCATTTGTGATACAGCATACAGATTGGAAGCAAGGTTGGTTGGCCCCAGTGAACTCTGCTTTGGTCAGAAGATAAAGAATACAAAGGAGACACAAGATTTGATCCCACTCCTCAGACTAGAATATGTGCAGAGACTGAGAAGGAGAATTATAAGGGGTTTGAGAGTTAAGGCACAGAGAGAGTGCCCCGTGGAAAAGAAAATGGGTGCTTAATTTTAGAAAAGGGAGCATATAGAGGTATGATAACTGTAGCTATATTCATATATTTCAGTGCATTAGCTGGATTTTTTTTAACCTAGGCAAGTACTGTCATACTCAAAGAGGGGCAATGGATAAAATTAAAATCAGATTTTTCATGATAGAGCTGAAATAAATGGCAGCCTGGTGATAACTGCTACTCATTCCTAATGTATAGCAAACACCTGTGTAATCACACTAAAGTAATTAAGTAGACACTCAAGGAGATCATTAAGGAACATGTAAACATATTCTTTAATAAGCTGCAGGTTCTCAACAATTAGCATTCATATCTCTTCAATCAAAGAACTCAGTCTCACTCAATAATTAAAGTCTTGCTTATTCTAAAGAAAGATATATTTATATTTTAAAGACACATTAAAGGCATTGGCAATGGTATTTATCATTTATGTTAAACGTTTCAACCCTTAGAAACTGCTAGCTGAGTTCAGTGGGAGGATGGGCAGCAGTGGGAGGTCGCCTTGACGGAATGTGAACAGTCCAATTGGGACTTGAAAAGACAGAGGTAATGGTTGACATAGATAAATAGTGACTGATTTTACAAAACACAACATATAAAAATGATTGTATGAACACAGTGTGAATGAAGGAATGTATGAAGCACAATGTACATAAATGAAATACAGTGTATATGAATCTTCTATGCAAACAACTATAAATTGTAAAAACCCCCAATATGATTTACAAAATTTCATTTGCATAAAAAGAAATTATTTTTAAAAACCCTTAGGAACTTAAATAATGTTAGCTGACAACTGTATTAACAACAAAAATGACAATCATTAACAGTGAATATAAATATGTTAACAGGACTCTTGCAAAGTACAGAGGTTCAAAGAAGTACATGTAAGGGGACATATTCAGAAAAGAACACGCACCGCTATGGTCTTTGGTCCTCCTTCCCAGTTTCAGGATGGCTCCACCAAGCTGGCCTGAGGGGTATGGAGCACCAGCCTGCTGACGTAGTGGCTGGTGGTCAGGGTGTGTGAGGGACTTGGCCAGAGGACTTGGGCCATCACAAGAAGGGGGGAGCTTCGGCCATCTGCTGTTGCCTTTGCTGGCCCATCAGGGTCTTCAGCATTTGGAGTGGAGCCTCTTGTGGCCCAGCCAGCTCAAGGGG